TTATCTGTCCTGGAATTTACTCTGCATACCAGGTTTACTTTGCAAATCACAGAGATCTGCTTGCCTCTCTCTGTTTCTTGAGTGCTGGGATTAAAGGCATGTGCCACCACACCCAGCTCCTTTTTGTCTTTTTAAAACCATGTTTTTCCCCAAGCCTATGTATTTTTTAAAACACATTGTAAACTTTTAGCGCTTTTTTTTTAATGTGAATCTGTCTTTACTGTAAATTTTTTTATAGCCATGAGTCTTTTATCAGGTAAACAATAACATTGTTAAAATGAAAGTTTTTGTTGTTTTTGTCACGGTTATTAAAGATGGCGGCAGCTATTTTACCGCCAGCACTGAAAGCTGTGCTCACTGCCTTGGTCTGCATGCTGTCGGCTTGGAGATATGGTCATTGCCATTGCCAGCTCTGATACACATCAATAAATTGTTAGCAGTTTTTTTTTTTTAAAGCCGTGCATTTTTTGTCTCTTATGCTGAGTCAGGAATCTTCCCTTAAAGGAGCCACAGAAATTTTTGTTTGTCTCACACAAAACAGAGTGCAACCCAGAAAATATTATTACCAAGAAACCTTGTTTGTCTTTGTTTTTCTGTTTTTAAAACCCTTATTTAAGCTTTTGTTAAATTTTAAGTGGAATTTTTTTTTTTTTTTTTTTTTTTTTTTTTTTTTTTAGCCACGTGGGCGTCATTTGTAAAGAGTATGGTTTAATTTAATTAGAAATCTTATGCAGAGATTTCTCTGTACTGGAAAGCTAAAACTATCCAACTATAAAGAACAAACAGGCATCCAAAGCACTTACAATCCCTCAAGATCCTTGAAAAAATCAAAAGCAATGCTTTTGAATTTCAAAGTTATAACTAAAATAATTACAGAACCTTTATAAGTGTACTATGAATAGTGCAAATATGGAAAGCTAATATCCATGTGATCCAAAGTTTTAAACATGTTGAATGCTGATATGGTACCATAAGGTAAAAGTTACCATTCTGACATTTACTGATAGATTACAGGTTAGCCAACCTGACTGTCAACACACATACTCTCTCTCTCTCTCTCTCTCTCTCTCTCTCTCTCTCTCTCTCTCTCTCACACACACACACACACACACACACACACACACACACACGTAAATGGACTCATATATATAAAAGTTGTACATTTGAGAAGGTGTGGAGTAATGCAGGATGAATTGGTGGGAGAAGAGAAAGATGGGTGGAAATGTATACATTTATAAAATTCTCAAAAATAAAAATAAAAAACAGTTCCTGCCTAGGACCTCAGTTGTATTGTCCTTAATGTTCTTAAAGTTCTTCAGTAGTTGTCAAGAAATTCTTCTTGATGAGATGTGAAGACTTATCTGTGGGTGTAATGGAAAATGATAAGATTATTGTTAGGTATTATGCTGATTTAGTAAAGTAATAGATGTAGATTGTACCCTTGATTTCACTTGTGTTTATAAGTTAGCTATGTTTACAGGACAAGACATGTTTTGTACTTGTTGAGCAGATCTTATGACCAGTTAGAGAGCTGTTGGTTACTGCCAAGTTAGGAAGCTACTCTATTGTTAGTGTTATTATGCCATGCTAATTAAAATACAGATTTATGGAGTCTAGTCTCTTTTGTTGTATCTCCAAAACACTTCTGCACCTAATGCTCAGTGAACATTATAAAAGAGTAGCTTGAAAAATTCTAAGAGTCAGAGATCTATCAGGTAGTTTGCAGTGAGATTGTATCTCTTAGAAATATCAGAAGCTTCACAGTAAAGCCTCACCAGCATGACTGCCAAAACATGAGCTGAACAAGGACTATAACAATAGACACACTAAAATGGACTAGGAGAAGCTCATGGGGCCTCAACCGTACACAAAGAACTGTAGGCAACTGAAGAAATCTGTGAATGGCAGATGATGTATGCCCCAGGAAGGAGCACACAAATAGAGCAAATGGGCTTTTAGTCAAGCCTATGATAAAAAGAGATCTATCTACATGACTACAAAGTGTCCTCATGTATACTGAATAAAGACTTTTCAGTGTGACTGCTTCTGTGTTACCTATACTCCCATTAGTCACTCTGTACCAATTTCTCTAAGTAATCCCACCAGACTCATTTGTTCTCTAGGGTGAACTTTGACTGAACTTTCGTTTGTCATTTTGATCATGTGAAGAGGAAGCTGACATTCCTTAGCCCTCTCTCCCTGGGGAAAAAAAGTGTCACAATAGATAGTAAATCCATTTTTTAAATACAATTATATCTCCATGGCATTAAAAATATAAGCAAAAATGTCATATGGATGAAAATTGTTTTTAGTAAATGGGGTTTATGCAAAAATTATGATTAATGATTTATGTTTCCAGAAATATTAAAGTGGATGGGTGGATGGTTTTGCAATGGAAAAAAAAATAACTAGAGAGATTTTCCAAATTGTGAAGTATCCAGCAAGACACTTAAGTATTGTGGACCTTCAGCTCTTCTGATCAAATGACAAATTCTGTTTCTGGAGATATGCTGAGGGTAAGAATGAAGAGGAAGGAGTGGTGAGAAGACAGAATGAGACAACACCTGTCAGTTAGCACTCTAAAGGGTAAATCTCTCAGAACATAGAACAAGATGGCCATTGATTCAGAGAAATTTGCATATCTATACCACACTGTATATATTCCTAAGCACATAGATTGATAAATATTCATATACCTACATGTATAAGTATAGATATATACACAAATGAATGCTTAAATATGCAAATAATTATATGCACTTATTTGAATTCACTATAGCAATACAGAATGTGTAGAGATTAAAATTAAATATATCCATTACTGAGGACAATACCCCCTAAACTATATCTTTATCTTATTAAATAAAATTAAACCAACATCATCAATGGACTCTTGCTTAATTGTCTTACCTCTCATTTCCCCAAGCTGCAAAACCATGAGGAATTCCATGAATATAAAACCTCTGGGATCAAAGGCTCTTATAAAGATCTAGAAGTAGCTGATCTGAATGCTGGAATGAGGTGTATACTGAAAATTTGGTAAGTTGTATTCTACAGATATCAGTTGTAAATAGGTTTTGTTTTATTCTAATAATACTTCTAGGTATTTACATTCTGTTATAGCCAGGGATCTACAAAACCTTATTTTTCCTCTTCATTCATTACACATAGCAATTTATGAAACTTCTGCAAGCAATATAAAAGGTTTAACTTATTTTCTGTTGTGATGAGAAAGGCTACTTTGTATGTTATGGGAAGGAAGAGAACCGGAGGTATAAAATTCATTCCCCACTAAAGTAATGTCCTCTGAGGACTTCCCCAGGATGTCCCCTGCATTGTACACCTTTCAATCCTTGGTGTATGAAAGATTGGGATATTTCTATGCTCCTGCTAAAACAATAAAAAAAATCTCAATTATTTCAGTTTATATTTTCCCTAATGTCAGAAGATAAGGTGCTTTTGAAAAGAACATCAGACAGCGGCTTGCCATAGCTGTGAAGTTGCGATGCTGAGATTGTCTAGAGGAACATCTTCATGAAGGGAAACTTTATCGATTAGCATGAAATTATTGCCTAGCCTCACTGGTCTGTTATTGAATGACAAACTCTGTAAACACTTGCATGGGTTTTGCTTGTGCATGTGTGTGTGCATACTTGTGTTGTGGATCTGAGTATGTTCTAATTTGACATTCCACAGTCAAAAATGGTAGTGATTCTAAGCCATTCTATAGCACTTCATTATAAAGGTTTTGTTTATCTCAGTAACATTATATGTAGAAGCCCATGCCTGGTTTCTTCTTCATTTTCCTTTTCTTCCTTCCTTCCTTTCTTTCTTTTATCTTCTCCTTGGTGTCTAGAACATTTGGAATCTAGCAATTTTCTTAGATGGGTAGTTTTGGACAGAGATAATATGTTCTTGGAGAACTAGTTTGCCTCGTGGCTCTCTTTCTGCTTTGAATACTAGGACCTTGAACCAGGTATTCAGAAATAATCACTTTGGAATATTGAAATAAACACATTTACTTCATAAGATTATTTTGATGGTTTGGTGGAGCACTATTTAGAATAGAGTGTCTGTCATATATTCAATGTTTAATAAATGTGCTCTGCTAAATATTCTATTGAACAAGATTTTGACATTATTAAATTTGATTCCATTGATGTGGCTTTAAAAGTAAGTAATGGGTTAAGAAAATAAAAAAAATGGATGGTGTGTGTGGGAGGGGCATGCTACCCTGTGTTCATGCATGCATGTGCAATGAAGTGTGAACACCAGGTGTATTTTTTTTAAACAGGATTTTTCACTAATACAGGAACTCACTAACTTAACAAGAGTAACTACTGAGTAAACAAAACGGATCCTCTTATCTTTACCTATCACTGGTATTATAGCTATGTGACTCTACACAGAATTTTATATAAAAGCTAAGAACATGAGTTCTCATTCTTGCATGACATTTTACTGAGTGAGCAACCACTCTGAGAGTACATATTCTTGATATCAAATTTACAAACCAAAGTTACAAGTAACATCTATATTTAAAGTGATGTATTAGTGACTGAAACAATAGTCAAAGAAGATTCTTGTCTGAATTCACTTGGTGTATGGCAAATTTAAATATTATATAATCAGAATGCTTTGGGATAATCTCCTAGCTATTTGAAATTACAAGGTTATGTAGTCATAATGAGTAAGAACTGGGGATCTACTTGATAAAGACAATGCATCACCTACTTTATAGCTGTTAGATATTCAAATGAATATTATTCTGCAAATGATGAGTTCTTTATATTCTGAAGTAATGTGTAATATATGATAATCCAGAATAATTTACTCATGTAAATATCTTTTTTTATTTTTCTCTTTTGATTTAAGCTACATGCTTATAAATTCACTACAAGTTTCATTAAATACATTTTTATGATATTTATTCAACTTTTTTTCATTTATTTAGAACAACAATTTAATCTAAAACTTTATTTTCTCTCCCTTAAGTTACACTCCTTGCAGCCATGGAGCAGGATAATAATACAATCAGTGAGTTCATCATGTTGGGATTCACAACAGACCCTGTGCTGCAGAAGTTCTTGTTCGTAGTGTTTCTTGTTGTGTACACATTGACTTTACTGGGAAACAGCTGCCTCATTGTGTTGATCTGCAATGACTCCCGGCTCCACACACCTATGTATTTCTTCATTGGAAACTTATCATTCCTAGATCTTGGGTTGTCTTCTGTCTACACACCAAAGATCCTAGCAACCTGCATCTCTGAAGACAAGAGCATCTCCTTTGCTGGCTGTGTGGCTCAGTTCTTCTTCTCTGCTGCACTGGACTACACCGAGTGTTACCTTTTGGCTACCATGGCTTATGATCGTTATGTGGCCATCTCAAAGCCTCTGTTTTATTCACAAGCCATGTCCTTAAAGCTATGTGTGTTTTTAGTAGCAGCCTCATATCTGGGTGGTTTCATTAACTCTGTCATTATCACCAAAGACACTTTTTCCTTGACTTTCTGCAGTGACAATGTAATAGATGACTTTTTCTGTGATATCCCACCCCTGGTGAAGCTGGCCTGTGGCAAGAAGGGCAGCTTCCAGTCTGTGTTGTTCTTCCTCTTGGCTTCCAATGTCATCATTCCCATTGTGTTTATCCTGGCCTCTTATCTTTTCATCATTGCCACGATCTTGAGGATTCGCTCCACTCAGGGCCGCCTCAAGGCCTTCTCCACCTGCTCCTCCCACCTCATTTCTGTGACTTTGTACTATGGCTCCATTCTCTACATTTATGCTCGTCCCAGGTCCAGCTACTCTTTGGGTAGGGACAAAATTGTTTCAACCTTTTACACAGTGGTATTTCCCATGTTGAATCCCTTGATCTACAGCCTGAGGAATAAGGATGTGAAAGCGGCTCTGAATAAACTTCTCAAGAGCATTTCCCTGTAAGAGGCACAGAAAATATTTAATCAGTTTACTAATGTTCTAGGAAAGATGCTAATCACAATGCTATAAAGTAATATAAAGATCCATGTAGTTCAGCCATAGGACTTCTGGGTGTAAATACAAACATTCCAAACCAGATTACTATAAAGATACCTGTGCACTCATGCTATTCATAGCAATATTAACAATAGCTGTGTTATGGAATTATTCCAGGTATCTATCCAGACGTGTATCAGAAAAAAATTTGTAGGGTGTTCAAGGTAGTTTTTTGCTCAGTTATAAGAAGAAATGGAATTAACATTTTTTTTTTTAAGAAAAATAGTGGAACTAGTGATAATCATTAAGAGGAATAAACTAGTCCCACCAGAACAAAAACACTTATATCTCATATTATTGGAAGCTGGGAAATAAATAAAGAGTATGGAGGCTAAAGTGGGACCATTAGGAGACAGAGAAAGCAGATAGAGAAATAGTAAAAGATATGTGATTCATCAAGTTACGTTTAGATAACTATGGTCCTCTCATGAATAAACTGCTTTGTACAATTATTATATGTTAATTAAACTAGAAAATGAACTTAGACTTCAAGAATAAAGATTTTGTGCAATTGAAGAAGATTGCTATGTGGTTAAGGGCACATTCTCTATATACATAAAACAAGAGACAGGTGATTCCCAACAGCTCACTGCATAGTCAGCTTTACTCAAATGTTAAGCTTCGAGGTAATCAAGAGACCTTATCTCCAGGTAATTATGCAAATTTGGTAGAGGAGCACATCTCATATCCTGCATGTGAAAGCATGAACACAGCCATTACACAATCATGCATGTGTACCATACACATATACACCTCATATAACACATGGCACAGAGAAATACAAAATAAAAGAAAAAGAGTTATTGTTGAGCCTTAAACAATTTGATTCATTTTCTTTGTCTATATCAACATATTACATTTATTCTAATAGGTAATATCAGGGTTGTTAGTTCTTGTTTTGAAAAAAAAGGGGGGATGATGTGGGATGATGTTCTTGTTCACTGTAAGGATTTCTTCCTCATACTTGTTTAATGAAATGCTGATTGGCCAGTAGTTACACAGGAAATATAGGTGGGTCTACCAGACTACAAAAATTCTAGGAAGAGGAAAGGCTGAGACACAGCCATCAGCCAGATGAAGAGGAAACAAGAAGAGAATGTCTTACTACTGAGAAAAAATACTAAGCCACATAGCTAAACATAGAATTATGGGTTAGTTTAAGGCTAAGAGTTTGTTAGTAATAAACCTGAGCAATAGAACAAACAGTTAATAATTAATATGAGCCTCTGTGTGTTTATTTGAGGCTGAATGGCTGCAGGATGGTGTAGGACAGAAACTTCCATCTACAGTTTATAAATATAAATTTGGTCACAAAAAGTATTTATGTTACACTATCCTTTATGTTCCCACAGAAGTGGGAACATTTTATGAATAAATTAAAATTCATATGGCATGGTTACAACCAGACAGTAATTGGTGTAGGCTTACACCTAGAGAAAACAGCTGAGCTCCACAGCTAGCAAGGCAAGTTTCTTTCTCTTTTGGGTCACAGTTCACCAATACTCTAGAAATATATACAAGACTGTATAAGTAATTTGGGGAAAAAGTGGATTGATGATGAAAAACACATCGATACATTCTCTACCCAACTTCTTACTTTCCCAACTTTGAGCTTTCTCTCCACTCATAAACATCAAGTTTGTGTTGGTCATCTAGTTTTGAGAATGGGGACCTTTGATTTAGATATCTGACCAGCTGAGTTTAATTGCATAATAATAAAGGTTTTAAGGACTTGGTTAATAATTATATATATATATATATATATATATATTATGCATTAAGTTTTACTAGACAAAAATGCATTTGTCTTTGACAGACTTAAAGGAGACTTGATTACTTTTCAGTCTATAGTTTCAGAGGATGGAAATTAGCTTAGTTAAAAGAATAAAATGAGATTGTATTTCCACATTATGACATTGGATAGTCTTCATCTGTGCAGAAATTTCTTGTTATAAGAAAAATATTCCATAGTTACTTCTGTCTACTTTATTCCTAAATAATCTTTAATCTGTGTCTCTTGACACAGATGCCTATCAAGAGAACAGTGGGACATTTGCTCAATTTAGTGAGATGTATGAGCAATAACCTTCATAGTATCTTGGCAATTAAGTAGTCTATCTAGTCCTGTTATTTTAAAACTATATTTTATTTTATGTACAATAATATAATTTAAATAGTAAGTGGCAGCATAATTAAATGATTTGATATGCTTTTAGACAGTAAATAAGAGAACATTTTTACATTATAAACTTCTGGAGAAAAATTTTTTTAAAATATTATTTTTTTGAGTTAATCTAACAAATGGATTCAGTGACTACTCATGTTCAATTCTTATTGTAAAAATGCTCTATTAATCCAAAAGAAAGTTAAACTTTCAAAATCATTGAGTGATAGAAATAGCACATGTTGAATTATTTCTGAATGCAAAATTTGTCCTTACTACTTTAATAATCATAAAGTTGAACTTTGTAAGCAAGCATTAAAAAAACAAAACAAAACAAAAGTATATTTTTCAGACAAAAAAGAGAAAAAGAGAAACCTGGATACATTTTATTTTTACCTGAAAATATGCAAGCACCATGGTGGTGCAGAACTGGCAGAAGTGGCCAATCAGCATCGGACTTAAGTTGACACCTGTCCTGTGAGAGAGTGACCATGTATCACACTGCCTAGATGGCCAGGAGCCAGAGATTGGATAGCTCAGAGACCTAGAGCATGATTGGTCAAAAGGTCAATGCAGTGATTTCTAATGGTATTCTGCTATATTCATAGATTGATGCCATATCTAGTCATCATCCAATACGTTTACTCTGGCAGAAGATGTTGGCAGGTGCAGAAACCCACAGCCAGACATTATACATAAAGAAAACAAAGTTGGATGTGTTCAACAGGTACTTCCCCTTTGAAGCTGGGAAACTGTGCAGAAGAGTAGCAGCAAGATTGTAGGACTCAGAGGGGATAGGTACCAGGAGAACATGGCCCACTGCATCAAGCAAACAGGGTTTATATGGGCTTACAGAGACTCAAACAGCAAGCACAGGGCCTATATGGGTCCTCACCAGGTTTTCCGAATATTTTGTCTTTTAGCTTGATGTTTTTGTGGACTCCTAAGAGTTCAAGCAGGTGCATCTCTCTCTCTCTCTCTCTCTCTCTCTCTCTCTCTCTCTCTCTCTCTCTCTCTCTCTCTCTCTCTCTGGGTTTTCAAGACAGGTTTTTTTCTGTATTGTTTTGTACCCTATCCTGGAACTAGCTCTGTAGACCAGGCTGGCCTTGAACTCACAGAGATCTGCCTGCTTCTGCCTCCTGAGTGCTGGGACTAAAGGCATGTGCCACCAATGCCCAGCTGTATCCCTATCTATTTTGTTTGCCCTTGGGACTGTCTTCTTCCTATTGTGTTTCCTTGGCCAGTCTCACTATTATGGCTTTTCTTTGTCTTGTTTCATCTTTTTTTTTGTCATGTTTGGTTGCTGTTTCTTGAACTCCTGCTCCTGTCTGTGGGAGAGGGAAGGTAGGGGGGGTGGGTGGAGTAAAAGGAGAGGAAACCATAGTTGAGATGTATTACGTGAGAGAAAAATCTATTTTCAATAATAAAAAAGAAAACCTAAAAAAAAACCCTATATCAAAGATCAAACTAGAAGAGAAAAGACTTTATTTTATTTCCTACTATCGTGACAAATTCTATAGATTCTATAACTGCAGGACTATCCTCCTGTAGGGTTCTATGAACAATCCTGAAAGAAATGCTGATTCCTCATTTACCCATAGATTTTAATTTCCCAGGGAAACCATTGTCATTGGAGCCCTAGGATAAGTAACAATAGGGAAAGAGTGTCATAGCTGTGTAGTTGCAGATCAGGCAACACAAAACTGACTGATCATTTACAAATAAATTCCTGCTTCCTTTTATTTCCAAATTGTTAGTGTAGTGATAAATAGGAAATGTACTTATCTCTCCCAAACCAGACTCACTATATGCTTAAAGCTGGCCTTGAAGTGAAGTTCTGTACCTCCCAGCTACAGAAATCACAGACATGAAGACCCCATTCTTTTTAATAGGCTATACTGTCATGGTTATAGTCCATACCGCAACAGTTGAACTCAGTGTTCCAAAATCCATTTTAATTTTACTGGCCATCGGTTTGGCACATGACTTGTAAATATCCAACTTCTAGGGACCCTCTTTATATTAATTATTGTATCATTGAAAGTTCTTCTTGGAATAAAATGTCCTGCTTGCAACTGACAAATTAAGGATGATTTAATAATGCACAAAATTGTGAAGGGAAGGTAGGAAATATAAACTATAATGGGATAGCTTAATTTTTTGGTAACAGAATTTGACTACTTATCTCTAGGCCCACAAGATAAGAGGAGAGAAGAGTAAAATGATGAGGACTAAGAGAAAGAAGAAACACACACACACACACACACACACACACACACACACACAGAGAGAGAGACAGAGAGAGAGAGAGAGAGAGGGAGAGAGGGAGAGAGGGAGAGAGGAAGAGAGGGAGAGAGGGAGAGAGAGATAATGGGAAAGAGAGAGAGATTGGTGAGGTGTCCAGGCATAAATGTGACCTTTCAGTGATCTGTCTGAAGATTTGGATAAGAACTCTCACCTCCATCTACTATTTTCCATATATTGCCTATTTAATTGGTACAATTTTTGTAGATTGATCTCTTGAGGTAGATGGCTATTGCTATAGCAGATGGCTATTGATCTAGATCATTGGTTCTCTACCTTCCTAAGTCTGTGATGTTTTAATGCAGTTTCTCATGTTGTGGTGACACCCTACCATAAAATTATTTTCATTGATACTTCATAACTGTAATTTTGCTATTGTTGTTAATTATAATGAAAGATTTTTGGAGGTTTTCCAAATGGTCATGATCCGCAGGTTGAG